GTGAAAGCCTTGTGACGGAAGGCGTCAGGCATCCTTGAAGCAGCACCCAGGGGAACTAATGAGGCTGTAACGTCATTAGTGCCTGCGACCCAGTACACCACTGCACGTAGCGTTACTGGGACCCTGGGACGTGGGAGCCCAGAACTGGGACACATCCTAACAGCGGCTGAGCCGGAGGGGGCTTGCGCTGGCCATAAAAGGTGAAGCATCCCAGATGTCCCGGAGTGCCTGGCAGCAGGCAGGGAGCTGAAGCAGGGGCTCATGTGTTTGGGGAGAGGGTGGAGAGGGGCTTTGGGGGGGTCCCTGGCCCCTCTCCCCCTACCCAGAGGCAGCTCCAGCTTTCCTCCTCCCGCACCGCCCTCTCCAGGTCCCTCTGTTTTCTGGCAAATAGGATTAAGCCTGACCTTCTGCCCCATCTCGGAGGGAGCCAAAGCTCTTTCAGATCTAATTATTTTTAATTATTGTTTAATTGTGCACATCCTGCTGCTGGCTGAGAAGGAGAGCAGCTCCTGCTCCGGCCGCGGGCTCTCGGATCAATGCTCCATCTTTTGGGGTTGTGATTTCAAACCCCCACGTCTCTTGGAGGTCTGAGGCAAGTTGCCCAAGAAGCAGCTCTGACATCATCCTGTGTTTCTCCAGTGGGGACCTTCACACTCGGCCCCCCACCGTGTGAGTAAGAGGAGGTCGGCCATGACCACCTGCCTCCCCATCCTCCTCCTCCTCCCCTGCACCCAGTTTGCACCGTTCTGCATATCTTTTCCCACATAATTCCTATGTACAAGTGGCACCAACCTCTTTTAGCAGTGCGTTGCGTGCCTTTTTTTAACGATCTTTTGGTTTCTGAGTTTACCCGAGCTGCTGCAAAGTCCTGCAGCCTCTCCCCGCAGATGGTGCCGGGCTGGGGTTTGGGTTTCCCAGCCTGGAAGCGCTGCCGAATCGCCCCAACGGCAATGATAAAACGTGGGGGTGATAGGGGAAGGGGTGAAACCCCTCTGTGGGAGGAGGGGAGAAAAACAGGCGGCCCAGGGAGGCTGTGGAGTCTCCTTCTCTGGACATATTCAAGACCCGCCTGGACAAGGTCCTCTACAGCCTGCTCTGGGTGACCCTGCTTCGGCAGGAGGGTTGGACTAGATGACCCACAGAGGTCCCTTCCAACCCCTGCCATTCTGTGATTCTGTGATTTTCACCTCCCAGACAGCCGGCCAAGAAGCAGGAGGGAGAAGGGACAGATAAATCATGTTAAGCATGACACGAAGCTTTGCCTGCAGCAGAATTATATCTGCATATGGAAAACCTGGTGGGCAAACACTCAGGCTTCAGCTGGTGCAAGCGGGAGGTCTGAGAAGTGTCCCTTGTGTGCAGTAAGTGTTGTGCGCAACAGCAGCGCTTCAAAATCAAGCAACCTGGCCAAGCAATTTGTCCACAGTAGGTGCTAAACGGCATCGTGCTGTGTCCACGTCTGGCATCCCGGTGCTGGTGGTCCCCACGTCGGGGCTTGGAGGTGGTTGCAGGGGAGGTGGTGAGCAGTGACTTGTGTCGAGCCTCAGCTGGTGCCATTCACAATCGTCCTTGCTGTACAAATGTCCCTCCATCAGCTTTACAAGCTAACGATCCAGACTCATGTTGACATCTGCATTCTCTGGACTTACGGAAAAAATCATGGTAACAACAAGGAGCGGTAATGAGCCGGGTCTGTGGCCAAGACCGCGTGTTTCAGGAGAAGGCAAAGCTGTATAGGCTGTTCTTGCAGAGAAGGCGTTATCCCTAATTAGGCTAATTAAGTTCCCAGGGAGGTGGTGGAGTCACCATCCCTGGAGGTGTTCAAAAAACGTGTAGATGTGGCACTTCAGGACGTGGTTTAGCAGGCATGGTGGTGTTGGGTTGACGGCTGGACTTGATGATCTTAGAGGTCTTTTCCAACCTTAGCGACTCTATGATTCTATGATTCTGTAATTCCCACTGGCAAGGGAGGGTGGGGAAAGCAGGGATGGGAACCCGCCCACTGCAAGGAAGAAGGAAGGATTTGGGTCGTATTTCTCTTGCAGCTTTGCCTCTGTGCCAGGTGCCCCCAACCCGGTGGGGTGCGGAGTGAAAGGCGGGTGCCATATGGACAACCAGGAGGGTTTAGATGCAATGTCCCACCTAAGAGCTTCCAATAGCAAAGGATCTTTAAGACTTTCCTCTTGCTTTCTCAGCCAGTACCTATGCTTAATTATTCTGTGCAAAGCAACAGAGCTGCTCCAAAGTGGTGCCACGCCATGTCCCTTGTCCCTCTCAGTGCGGTGGCATGAGATGGCTGGGGCACGCCGTCGGCCGGGTCGGGAAGCAGCTCTGGAGCAGAGGTGGGTCTGCAGAGAAGTAAATACCACTGCAGAAAGTTCCAGCGAGAGCCATCAGCGTTTCCAGCAAGCCATCTAGTGGCTTCCTATCAAAATGGTTGCACGTCTTCAAACTGGGAAGGCGAAGCTGGAGGGCTGAGTGCTGCTCACCACTGACTGCAGTTGTGTCGAGGAGCCGATGTGCAGGGTTTGGTCCTAATTGGGAAAAGGTCCTACTGAAATAGCCCTCTTCTGGGTCATGGGGTGGTGGAAGGGTTGGGTTAGCTGCTGGACGGCAGCGTGGGGCTTCCCAAGAGCAAACCTGATGGGTGATCCTGCAGGTTGACGTCCAGATCTTCATTTCCCTGGTGTGGGTTCAGTTACCTTAGCTCAAAACCACGTGAAGGATATAGGGATAAATCAATGATTTAGAGCGGCTTCCTCGCCAGTATGGATAGCAGACAGCAGACAAAGAGGGAGAAAATAAAGTTTTTGGTTTTTCTAATAAAGTGAGAAACCAGGGCATTTCACTTGGTGAAATGCCTCTGCCCTAGTGAGGCAC